ACTTTTTCTAAACTACCATAGTGGATTTAAATCAAGCTATTAAGATGTGAATAAATTTCCCCCTTTCAGCTTTAATTCAAGGTGATTTTACAAAAGTTTGCAATAACATTTCAGTAATTAAAGCCATTATTTGATACCATTTTCAGAGAATCAAAAGTAATTGGACAATTAAATGACAAAGCACATTTTTAAATATATTTTTAAAGATCAATCTTAAAGAAATATCATCATACATCATGTTCATTAGTTGTTTTTTTGTGGTATTTCAGCCCTTCGCAGTGTTTCTCCTATCTCTCTGATTTTTGAAAAAGTTTATTACCTTAGTTTATTTTGTTTTTAATGAGGGCCTCCTTCAATTGCACTGACATCTCTTTGAGCCTCATATTTAAAAATGCAACATTTTTTGCACTTCAGATATTATGTTTGGGTGTATCATGAAATAAGAAAGGAACAGGCCATCAATGTTAGTCCACCAATTGTCCAATTGCTTTTGAGCATCTGAAAATAGGAGAGCGTATATGAAAATTGTTGTAATTCCTGAACCGTTCATGCAAAATTTTTGTAAAAACCCTTAAATTAAAGCTGAAAGTCTGCACTTTAATTGCATCTTGATTGTTTGATTTAAAATGCATTGTAATGGTTCACAGAGGCAAAAGTGCCAAAATTACGTCACTGTCTGAAAAATTATGGACCTAACTGTAGCTCCTCAAAAACAGATATTAGTAACAGTGTATCCGTTACATAGTAATGCACATGAAACACATATAATATATGGACAAACACACATAATGAAACAACACGGATGGGCCAACATAAAGACACAGGCAGACATTTACAAGCAAACTACTGTGCTGTAAAAGAGTGTCACTACAAGCCAAAGGTCAAATGGTGTGACCTTTTTCAGGTAGAGCTTTAAAAGAAAGTGATTTACATACAAAGGAAAAAAAAGAATAAAATTAATACCATGACATTTTGAGTTGTACAGTAACTGTCTGGAAAGAGCTTTAGCATTAGTCCTTCTCTGATCTGAACCGGGCCTCTCTCAGCGTGATTATTTATACTTGAGCTGAGTTGGTCAAAGTCGCTTCCCTTTATTTAAAAAGCCAGTTTTTCAGATAAATGAAGGAAAAATACAAAAACGCTTTCCACTGTGTGACACAAGTACAAGGAAAAGAAGGTGTTTTCAAAATGTCAACATAAATATATTTCAAGGAGTGACTTTCTTGATGGGTAAAGTTGTGATTTGGAGGGAAACAATACTCTGTGCTAACTTTGAAACAAAGAGTGAGAAACAAAAGAAAAAAATTACCCGCTGTGCAACTTTTTACAGAGAAATGTGGAAGTTAAAGGCACTTAAAGGTAGCTCGTGTGGAGTAGGATGTTATCAATCGCATATCACAGTCAAACCAACTGCTAGGTTATTCGTGGAAACGTCAAATTATGTTAAAAGGCGATATTTTAACTGTCGGAGTCTGATGACAGGGATGAAGCACGCCATCCACCTGATGAAAAGGACTCTGACTAGCGATAAGAGAGCAAAAATAGATGAGGTCATCAGGTATTGTTTTGCTATAGTTCTGTCTTCTTAGCTGATGTAAGCCATATTTCATGCTGTCACATTATGAGGCTTACTCGGGGTGACAACACAAACAAGCAATCTGTCATATGTACAGTAGGAGATTTTTTACATGCTTTTTTATGAGCGTTTTTTTCACAGCTTCTCTACAATTTATACTTAAAATGGGTTCTTATTTTGTAGGAGTAAAAATAAAAAAACTACATCACAGAAGTGGTTTAGTTGATCATAACATCATTGCAGTTCTTTTAACTGTGATAAATAAAGAAAAATCCCACTCACTCGCTACCTTTAACAGGCAAAAACCACTAGATTCTAGCATTAGGGCGTCATTTCTATAACCCAGGAGAGTTGCATTTATCTAGAAATATGAGAACTGAATTTGACCTGCCCCCAAAATCCATGACAAAAAGTGAAAAAAAGAAGAACAAACTCATTAACATCAATTGGATATGAAATGCGGCGAGAGTATTGGAAGACCCAGGATAATTTACTCAATGTAACACTTTTTCTGGGTAGAAACCAATTATGTTGCTGCTTGCAAAAGATGCATTCTGCAGTGGATCTGGCTCAAAAAGAACCGCATGTGTTCATTCGTTACAAGTTCAGTGTTATCCTACTCGACAAAACCACTCAGTGACAGATTTGGTTTTATTTGTTCTTGCTTTGGGTGAGTCTTCGACTAAACTCTCCAAGACTATAGGAATATCAAATCAAAAAAGTGACAGCTTTACACGGTTCAGGTGACGGTCTGTTAAAGGGGTTATAACACGGACTAATATGGACTTACGTCGAGAAGTCTAGTCTATTAAGCATCAGAGACAGAAAGTGCAGTATAGAATATTAAACATCACAGCATTTCAATGAGTTATTTGCTGCAAGAAGAAGAGAACATTTTAATAAACATCACAAAGAGACAGCGGATTAGGAGTAATGAAGTGTGAACTTGTTATGAGAAGACAGAGAAGTGTAAAGCACGGAGCAATTTGCTAATAAAAACGTTGTTTTTTTTCCCGACTTAGGCACTTGATTTGTGTCTCACGCAGTAGTCACAATTTGTGTGATTATATACGAGACAATAACACAAATGCGTGTTTAATGATATTTGGAAAATGTTAGTAATATCGGTGAACAAAAGCTTACAACGTGACTGGATCAGGTATAACACATGCACCATAAAACATCGTACTGTACTCACTGTATTCCAGAGGAGATGAGGGACACGCTGACCACCACCAAGTCCAGGATGTTAAAATAGTTTCTACAGAAAGAACCTTTGTGGAGGAAGGCGCCATAGGCTGTCATCTGCAGGGGTCAAAGTTCTGATTATTACCTTTTACCATGAGCAGCAATATTTTAGAAGGGTTTAATGCTAGCTTACCAGAAACAACACTATATTACCACATCTACAGTTTGCCTATCTATACATCTAAATCCAGTAAATAATTTTTGGTAAGCACATCAACCAGCTTGTAATGATTAAATATTATTTGACAGCCAAATGTTAATTTTAGCAAAGAAAAAAAAAAGAAACTGAATGAACAGTGAATGAATGCTTTAGTGTGCATCACAAACATTAAATACTACCTTAAGAATGATCTCGATGGTGAAGAGTCCAGTAAACACATGATCTGCATAGCCCAGGATCTGAAAATAAATACAACACTGTATTTTAACTGGACTTGGACTACCCCTGCCCGACACGCAAAGGCTTTCTGAATGAACAGAGATCAAAGTTGTTACACTGTTTCATTTGCCATGACAAAGTTCTTAATGAACCAAGATTGTTTAACATTTCACAAAGCAAAGCTGAATGAATTCAGAAATGCTCATGAGTCTCTTAAGGCCACAGTATACCCGCTGTAATTGTCGCTTTGCTGACCACTGCAAGTGATTTTAACAGAAACCCGTATTTACACCTGCCGTTACAGTGCAGGAAGGTGCTGCGGTATTCTTCTGAAGGATAGGTGTCGCCACTCAGACAGTATCACCACACAAGCACTAATGTAGGAGGAGAAGAAATCAAAACCGGATGTTTTCAAACTGTATATCTGTATGTGTCTGAGCTCCTGTGCTGGAATATTATTAAAATGCCTCTAAAAAAACGACACGGCCGCTCAACTCAGCTGCGGTGGCTGTGGCGCAATCCGATTTACAAAAATCCAGAGATGTACGACTAGCCGATGCGCCACCCACGACCCAAACACAGCATTAGAAGGCACTCTTTTTAGGTTCATAGTCTGTACATAAACGATGGCAGTAGCTACTGGGCCTGAAAAGATGGCGAACTCTTGTGCTCATCCATTGTATAGAAGTACATTTTTATACAGGAGATAAAAAAAAAACCAAGATAGAAACAGTCAAAATGCTCATCTAGAGGCTTCAGAACATCAGTCTACAAACCAGTTGGTGATGTCCACTGCCTATATACAATCTATTTGTGCCCCATTAGCAGAAGCACTCTTGAAGCCCTAAACTTGGTAAAATGTGTGGTAAAACTTGGCAATGAATGTGTGCTTCTTTTTGGGAAAAAGCAGGACTTACGGTCAGCTGCAGCATAACATAAATGACTCCACAACTTACTGAAATAATGATAATGTTCAGGTCCAAATGAACTAAAATAGAAATGCTGGAAAATCTGAAAAACAGGTTTTTTGATTTCATTACTGTTTCAGACTAAGGTTAATTGTTTTAGACTAATAGAATATATAATAGGATCCTACACCAAAGCAAGGGAAAATATAATAAAACAGATCTTTATTGGCCTCTGAGGAATACGTCTCACTGACTGAGACAGGAAACTGTGCACAAAAACAGATACAGCAGCACACATGGTGTTTACATTAGACTACAGCTCCATTACAGTCATAAACACCACATTAATTTACGAACAACGGGCTGATGTCACACAGCGAGTACAATTGCAGATATATCCTTCGTATACTGCAAAGTAACTGCAAATATTGCGGTTTCACAGCTCGCCTTGAGGCTAAACACGAAGTCTCCGCTGCTGCATACGAATTAAAAGACACAACTTCTTACACATTGTCAAAACAGACTGTGCAAACACTAAAACAGTAAATACATTCATTTCTTGGTTAAATGTTGACATTTAGCAAAACAAACACAAAAAACACCCCCATGAATATATTTTCACACTGTATGTGTACAAAATGATACAATAACTACTCATTTTTCTTTTTGGCTAATAAAACAGTTTAAAAGAGCGCAAAGCTTAAGAGGCGTTTCATATCTTCTTAACATGAAGTTAGTAACAGTTACAGTACTCGAGACGAAATCTCATTAAGTGTAACGGGCCACTCACAATAAGCTTTGGTTCCTCTATAGCTATAATCCATTTAGGTCAGAATGAGTGTGCGTGTGGGCATCTAATTATGGCTACTGTGCCTTACTGTACATCCGGCATTGTATGTCTTTATATACTTTATTTGTACTGTTATATATGGGTTTTTTTATGCTTACAGGTGGCTGTGGCTCTGGCAGTAGAGCTGGTCGTCCAGTAATCATAAGGTTGTTAGATATACTGCCGAAATACTGCTGTGGATACTGAACCCTGATTTGCCCCAGATTCATTAATTGACGTGTGAGAGTGTATGTGAATGTTAGATAAAAGTGCTTAAGTATAGATAAAAGCAGTCTATGAATGCGCTCAAATCGAGTAGACGGGCGTTATATCACTTATATGCTACCTTATTTCTGAAGGAGTCATTTTTGACAGGGTCTTCTGCCGCTAGACTGATGCTGCTGAGCAGGATGAAGAAGAGGATGAGGTTGGTGAAGATGTTGTGGTTGACGACCTTATGGCAGAGAACCCTGAACCTACAAAACAAAGTGCAAGAGAGAAAGGAAGCAAAATGTTTTCATCTAGTCTCTTTAAAGGAAAAGGATGCCAAAACGAATGCAGCAGAAGCTGACTGAAATATTGGGCGGAGAAAATGAAGTTGGAGAGGAAGATTACTTGTTGGTGTGGCTGAAGATAAAGAAAGCTCGGGCCTCAGGCATGGGGACAGCCTTCTCCTTCAGCTGAATGTCAGAGAGGGGCCGTGGCCTCGGGCCCACAGGCATCTCTGGCTCATCATCGTCTTCATCTCCTGATTAGGAGGAACGGGAAAGAGGAGAGTAAGATAAAGAAGGAAAGGGGGAAGAAGGAATATAATGTTAGTAACTAACAAAGACAAAGACAAACGTAACAAAGACAAAATTCTCAATGAAACCACCTCTTACCTTATACCTATATGAACACATAATATTTATGGCTGTGGTGTGTGTTACCTATATAATCATTGGCGGGATATGGATTCTTCTCTTCGCTCTCATCCCCACAGCAGTCATCCATGTTAATCTGAAAAGGAGAAGTATGAGATTTCGTTCATTTTTTCTCACTCCTTTGAACACACACACATATTCTTACTGAGTCTTTGTGTGTCTCCATGTACCTTTGTAGCAGTGTTGGTCTCCCCATCAGAAGTAATGGACTTCAGCTCTATTTTCTCCTTCTTCTCTTCCTCCAGAGGCGGCTTCTCATTTTCATGACGCTTCTCTGGACTGCCAAGCCTGGAGAAGAAGAGAGAACAAGAAGATCCTCAACTCTAGCATCTTCCCTTCTCCATACATAAATTAACATCAGAGGGACAACATAAAGACGTGTAATCATAGGGGGTATTTTCTCAGCTGTGAGGAAAATTACAATTTTCTGTTGCACCTTTTCCATAGATTAATACAGATTGCAACTAAGCAGAATACATTTTTATGATTTGTGCTAAAGAACACTTTCTTTCTCAGCTGCACTTTAAACTCAACTTTGAACTTTGCTGGGAATTAATCTTTGCAATGATACTGAAAAAAAATAATAATCTGTTGTAGAGAAAAGCCAAATAATATATTTGTATTCTATGTATGAAAAAGCAATTTTAGTGGTTTAATACAAGCTTCTAGTGTCAGCATCCTTATTCACCTTGAGAAATAATAGGCTATCCAAGATGCTGCAAGCTAATGTTTTCCCTGGGTGCTGTTTGGATTGGCCGGGTCTCAACATCTCCCTCTATCCCTTTACAATTTTTTGTCTGACTGCCTCCATTCAGTTTTCTGCTTTACCTGGCCAGTTTTTTCCTCTCCTTCTCCTCCTCTTCCTCTTTCTGGGCTGATGTCAGGCTCTCGGCATCTGCCAGATTGTCTACAGCAATGGCCAAGAAGACATTCAGCAGGATATCTGTTCAGAGGGGTGATGTTAAGGATGTTGCTGACCCATCAGATCACAAACAAAGCTGGCTATAAACAGGTGGCAACCCCTGGAGCTAAAAAAGGAAGCCAAAACCTACAGTTACTGTAATGACCACTTGAGGCTTGGGTTAAAAAGTGAGTTTTATTTTGTTTTTTGCTTTGTTTTTTGCTTTGTTTTATTCTTTGCTTTGAGCCCTGTGTACAGGAGCTGCTGTACATGTATGCTGCATGCTGTACATGCTGTACATGTAAAAAAACATCTTTTTTTTTAAAAGGGTTGGCGTAATAAGCATATGCTTCAGCCAATACCTTTTGATTAGCCTTGTCTTGTGCTTTCTTGCTTTGTGGTAATGTTTTTTCTTTATTCACTTTATTTGAATGCTAATCAATAAATCAAAAAAAAAAAATATCAGTTAATGTTCATAGACTGTTATGTTGAAGTGATCAGATAAACAGCATTCAAAACCAATGAATGCAGACTCCAAAGCCAAATGACTAATCCTGCACTGGCTTTGGATTCAACAGGCTAAGATGATGAATAGTAACAATTTAATCTGCAAAACACATTTTTAACTACTCTGTACTTTTAAGTACAGACGCTCAGTGGCCCGCACTAAAATCTTTTAGCTTTAGGGAAAGCATCTGCATGCAAAATGTGTTCTTTTCCCCTGCAACTGCATCTTAACAAGGGGTTAGATATTAGATGTGACTCAGTGATTCAAATCACAATCAGCAACACCAGTATCCATTTGATGACAGGATTAAAGATTGTCAGAAAACAAATTTGACTGTCAGTTACTGGATCTGATTCACCATGTTTTTATTTTGAAATTCTACATGTATAAGCATCACGCCCGCATGTCCTGGGTTACTGGTGTAGCTATTCCATGTATTTGTATTTATATAGCACCAACATCTAAAAGGACCTGACATTATAATAGAAAGACTCTGCAACAATCTAGAACAACCAAAAGATTCCCTATGAGCAAGTGCTTTGTGACAATGGGGACCTCCTGTTGTGGTAGGATACAGTTTCCGCAGATGAAGAGGATGATGAAGTAGATGCAAACTAGCATGCCAGGAAAAGCTGGACCACCGTACGCCATGATACCATCATACATCACAGAGTTCCAGTCCTCTCCGGTCAGGATCTGTAGAGACAGAAGACAGTAAACAAAATCTTATAAAAATTTATTTTCATTTAAAAGAAGCCTCAGCCTCGTGATAGTGACAGATTACATTTAATTAAGCAACATTATAAAATTTACACTTTTTGTATCATTCAAGGACAAAGGTAAGGTGACAATGGAGGCCGGACACACTTCATGAGAAAAAGTGGAGCATGATTACCTGAAACACAGTGAGCAGAGACTGGGGGAAGTTGTCAAACGTGCTTCGTCTGGTCTCGTCAAAGTTGAATTTTCCCCCAAACAGCTGCATGCCCAGCAGGGAGAAGATGATGATGAAGAGGAACAGCAGGAGCAGCAGGGAAGCGATGGAGCGGACAGAGTTCAGCAGGGATGCCACCAGATTGGACAAAGAGTTCCAATATCTAAAGGAAGAGAAATTTAGTTGAAATGGTAGTCTTGTTATAATATATTTGGTAGGTTGACTGTTTTGATTTCTTTATAGTTTAGAAGTGACTAGAAGGGAGTCTGATAGTTTCTGTTTCAGTTTAACAGTGCTGCCGGAGTTTCCTGCTAAGAAGTTTATGTTTTGCCATCCTGGATTCATGATTTAGTGTTTCAGTTGTAGGATTGAACTTTTAAATGTTTCCTTTATTGTTTTTTTCCCTCTGTTCTGTGTTTCTGTTTTATGTGTTTGCCCTCCAGAGTTCCTTTGTCTCTGTCTTCATGTTAATGTGACCGTTGTATCTCTGTGAGTGTTTTGGTTACTCCCTGTTTTCAAGTGGGTGTTTTTGTGCGTCCTTTGTATGTTTTTCTTCCAATCTGCCTTTCTGCCATTGTCTTTACCTGTGTGTGGGTGTTTTACCCTCCTGTTATTCATTTCCTAATTAGCCCTTTGTGTATAAATAGTCCAGTCTTTGTCACAGTGCGTTCTCTGTGTGTAGCCTTTGCATGTTTTGTTGTGCTGATTTTTTGTTCTTAGACCTTGTTAATTTGTACTCCTGTTTACATATATTGAAAGCTACTATTGAAAACTTTGCTTTGTTATTAAGGTTTCTTTCTGAAATCCTGTATTTGGATCCTCACCCCTATGCTTCCCAAACCCTGACAAGTCTAAAAAGCCAATATACAATCACTGGATTGTATTTGGTACACCTGTTAAACTGATTAATGCAGTGACTTAAGTGACTTTGAATGTGGCATAGTTGTTGGTGTCAGCCTGGTCTGATGAGCTTTGATTTATGGTGCGACATTCAGATGGTCGAGTCAGCATTTGGCATAAACAACATGAAAGCATAGATCCATCCTTCCTTGAATCCAGTCCAATACCTGACTGTTGTTGCTGTCCATCTCTTTATGACCACAGTGTCTTCTGACGACTGCTTCTAGTAGGATAAGGCGCCACGTCACAAAGCTCAAATCATTTCCCACTGCTTTCCTAATCTTGACAATACGTTAACTGGACTCTATTAGCCTCAAAAGTCACTAAAGCTCAATCCAATAGCGCTCGTTTGGGATGTGGTGGACGGGATGTGTAGCTGACAAATGCTATCGTGTCAACATGGACCAAAACCTCTGAGGAACGTTTCCAGCACAGCGCTGAATCTATGCTTTGAAGAATTACAGCAGTTCTCAAGGGAAAACTGCATCCAACCCGTTATAACGAGGTGTACCTAATGAAGCGGTCAATGAGTGTATGTAAACTAGTCACAATAGGAAATTCTCACTAAATGATTACTGTGGCAAAATAAAATCCAAGTTTGTTTGTTGTTTTTGGTAATTGCATCACAGACCTATTGTAACCTGTTAGTTCTTCATCCTCTGTTTCCGCTTTGCTGAATGCAACATTAAGGCTCCACTGGTATAGAAACACTGTAAAACGGGGCAGTGTTAGCTCAGTAGGTAGAGTGGTAGAGTGGTGGCCCCATGATTGGAAGGTTGGGGGTTCGAATCCACTGAACGGCTACCCTGAGGTAGGTACTGTCCCTACCACACTGCTCCCTGGGCGCCCATGGCTGCCCACTGCTTCACTGAGTGAATGGGTTAAATGCAGAGAGGAATTTGCCCACGGGGATCAATAAAGTATATATTATTATTATTAAAAAGATGTTACTTTATGTTCAGTATAGCATTAGGTATCTGGGTGAGTATCTTGCCTGTTGGAGGACTGAAGGAATAACTTCTGCTTATCAAATGCATATGCTTTAGGGTCTACACTAACCTGGTTATTTTGAAGATTCGGAGTAAGCGTACACAACGTAACACAGAGATGCCAAGAGGAGACATGATTTTTGTTTCCACCAGAATGGTTTCAAGGATCCCTCCACATACTACGAAGCTGTCGAACCGATTGAAGAGTGAAACAAAGTAGGCCTGTGAGGAGCAAAACGCAGACGTTAAAGGTAGAAAAAAGGGTAGAATGTGGTCAATGTTAACACAAAACAGTGATACAGTGTCCTACCTGCAGGCCCAGACTGTACATCTTCAACAGCATCTCACCAGTAAAGAGTGCTAGCAAAACCTTATTGGCTATGTCTGGGGAGGGAAATAAAGGGGGAGTAAAATTAGTGTAGGATGAAAATATAATGCCAAAGAAAGTAATTGCACAGAGGTCAATAATTAAGCCCAGATCAGACATATTATTGTTTTGTGTGCATGTGTGTGGGTTGAGCAATGTACCTTGTACATCAGTTAGCCACTGAGGCTGCTGGTGATGTTCAGAGGCAATGGTCAGAGTGTTGAGGAAAACCAGGAAAATGACCAGCCAATAGAAAACTTGTGATTTGACTGCTGCCCGGCATTTCCTTCGACACAGCCTGTTCCACCTCCGAGAGTAGCGGCTGAGAAGGAAGAAGCAGAGATAATAAGTTGGGAAAAGGTGGGAGAGAAACGAGAGGTAGGAGGATGGGACAGAGAATGGTGGGAAAAGGGAAAGATGAAGGAAGAGAAAAGGACCCACGAGCAATAGGATAAACCAAGAAAAATAATCAAAAGAAAGAAACGAATGGTGAAAAACAAATAGAGGAAGTGGAAGAAGGACAAGAAAGAGTCAATTAGGTTTTCTACAAAACAGTGATGACATCACGCCTCGGTCTGTGGTCGAGGGTTAGTCATCCTCAAAGGCGTTTCACAGAAAGGAGAAACCAGTACAAAGAGCTGTGCTGGAGCATGAGATATGCACCGTTTGAGAAAAAAAAAAAGAACATTTGTGCTCTAAAAATGATCGAAGGGGCAAATTTAAAGTGAAATATGTTGTATTGTGTCTCACAACACAAAGGAAAACAATGCTTTAAAAAGAGAAGTAGCTCATTTTAGGATGCCAACCCCCTTTTTTTTTAATTTAGTGATTTTAATATCTTCCTCTATGCTGTGGTCAGGTCTTTTGCACCTTGAATGCTCTCTCATGTTGGAAATTAAAGTCATTGTTTCTGATAATTGCTAGCGTTAAACTTCGCAGTCACATCTGTGTGGAAAAACTCCACTCAAAGGGTGTTTCGACGCTCATATACTGATAAGGTGTCGACTGTAATTTCATAATTGTCCTATTCTGGTTAAGTGACATCAAAAACACTAACGAAGAGCAGCTTGTGGTCTTGTTGGCCTACAGGTGGAAAAGTAGTGACGCATGAATTTCACTTAAGATTTTGACATAATTTCAATAGCCTAGACACTGATTATATATTTATGGAATGAATTGCTTTAAAAAAAAACGAGCAATTAATTGTTTTTTCTCCAAATAAACACTGTAAGTCACTTTGTCATGATTTTGTACACATGTGGGTGTCTTTGCATTATGCGTACTTGACCCATTTGTCAACCGCAGCAAACATGCAAGAGGATTTTTCATCCAATTGTGACTCCTCTAATTCAAACAGATCAACACAGCCCACCAGAGAATCTTCTCCCTCTGCCTGTATATGTTGCATCAGTCTTCTGTTTAAATGTGCGTGAGTGCTTTTTATAGTCACTTATGGCACACACTGGCTTCTGCCATGATGCTCACACTGAATTTTACATGAGACACACTCACAACACAAGCAGGCATGCATCGTTACGCTACAGTTTTTTATCGTGTCCGTGACTCCAATTCAAGAAACATTAGTGTTTTTCAAATACTTTGTGTACAGAGGGATAGTTAGTTCGTTGTCTCATCCCCGCTATGGAGATATCAGTGGAAGAATTTGGACCATTTTATGGAATGGTTGGAAATTTTTGAGAATTCCTCATTGTTTCAAGTAGTGATGAATATGGATTTTGCATGAAAAGTCAAATGTCGTCTGCATAAAGATTAATCTTGAGGTTATTATTAGATGTTGGGATTCAGATGATATTTTTATTTTGACAGATACTGTAGGCGCTATGAGTGGCTCAATTAAAAAAGAAAAAAGAAGACTGATGGTGATGGGCATCTTTGCCTAGTACCCCTGTTTCGTGTGTCATTTTGTGAGATTATTCCATTCGTAGTGCCAGTGGCTAATGGTGTGGTATGCAGAAGTTATAGAATGATTCAATAAATCCAAAGTTTACCTTATCAAAAGCTTTTTCTCCATCACTGTAACAACAACTTATTGTTCTCGCAATTAAATTAAATAGTCTAAATGTATTATTTGAGGAGTAAAGTGGTCCCTCGCTATAACGCAGTTCACCTTTCGCGACATCGCTGATTCACGGATTTTTTGTGTGTGCAATTTTTCATGGTTTTTGGGGTTATTTTTTTGGTTTGTTTGTTTTTTGTTTTTTTGACAGCGCATTGTGTTCTGCGTCCTGATGGGCTGTAGACCACTGTCAATCAATCTCGTGTGGGTCTTCTGTACAGTACAGAATGCGTTCAGCTTGTCAAATTGTTTGTACGTTTTCTCCCCAACAAACACAACAATGTCAACGAAATGCTTTGCACCGTCAAAGGCAACCGCGGGTGCCTTTGGTTTCATTCTGTAATACTGGACATCTTTTTTCTACAAAGGTTTGAACTTTGAGGGTCTATAAATAAGAGTGAAAAGTGTGAAAAAGTTCATGCCTGTCTGAGAACAGTGTGTAAAGTGTGTAGTGA